TGATTTAAATGTTAATTAAGATCTCTTTTTTAAGGCTGCACGTAATTATAAGGGCAATAAAATTGAAATATTCTCTTCTGCATACATATAATCTCGAGGTAATCAGGTGAGGTGGTTGTACAGAGATATTTTTACATGTTTATTACATAGTAAACCGAAATTTATCAAACGATAGATATATTCCGCTCGGTATATTTCTTGCAAAAAAATTTATTTTATTTTAAATGCACCGTTATATTCTCACGAAACTCTCGATTTTTCTACGAAATCTTTTCATGCATTCATTTTATTTCTTTGCTTAATTACTTTCTTCTTCTGTGTTGAAAGGAAGGATCTTCGCTCTTCGAATAAGGTATTATTTTGCGGAAAACTAATTCCCTTTTTTTATTTCGTTTCCCGAATGCAACTCGTTAGCTCCGCGTTTCGTGCACCTGCAGCCGTCTTGAATCGAAGTATTCGCGGGTTAACTCAACTCCGTTAACAAGGTAAATTCTCCCCCGTTCCGACCTCGGCGGTGGACTTCATTGACGTCATTACGATCGAGGTTCGCCAGAATGCTTGCACCCACAGCACGGAATAGTTCGGGCTTACCAATTGTTCTCCCAGGAATGCCGTCAATCTCCATTCGTGGAATTGTTACGAGAGCGCGGAGGAGAAGGAGGAGAGAGAGCCCCTCTCGCGCGCCGCGATATCCCACGGCGTTATTCTCGAGTCTTAACGACTCGTCTTTATTCCACCCGGTATAAATTGCACCGGATATTATTTTCGTCGCGCGAGACTCTCCCCGAAGTCGCGCGATTAATCATGTAACTTAATGCGGGGACGGTGTAACTTAAGGCCACCGCCGCCGTCGGGGCAAGTTCCCCCTCTGCAGGCCAACAAGCAGCGCCGCGATCGTGCGATTCTGCGACTTCCGCTTCTTCTCGATTAACTCTCTCGAATATATATCGTCCCCTTTTCGCGACGTGACGCAAAAGCTAATCTGAAATTACAAAGTATACAAGCTGTGATATATAAGTCTCGCTTGAGAGAAACTCGGTATGTTAACGAAGTATTATATTACGACTTCTGATCTTCAGTCTACCGAGTTAAAAAGAATTTTGCATAACGTAAAATAACAGTTACGAACGTGAATGTAAAGCGACGTGGACTATAAATTTATTTTAATTTGTGTATACACGTATGTGTGCTACGTGTGTATATATGCACTTAGGTATATTTTTTTATACAAATTTTTTAGAAGTTTACCTCCCGATGAAATTTCCGCGAGAGTTCACTTTAGAGTTCGTTTACACGCGGGGCTATAATCACGCGAGGCATTTACCGTCCGCCGGTCGATATAGGTGCGTTTATCCGTCTATTCAACCTTAAAGGGGAAACAATCAAAATAAGAGTAACAGCGGCCGAGCTGTCATCGTGTGCGATAACTAAAGCCGAGAACGTCTTTGTCGATTTTCTGCGCGCCGATCGACGGGGACTGGGGGGGGGGGGGGACAGGAGGAGGAGACGTTCGCATGAATTAGTACGAAGCAGCGGTCGATTGGGCAACAGTTGATCGATGCACCTAACGATTATCCGGCCTATAACCGCGAAAGAAACGTGGTGAAATGGAGAAACGAATTGCGCAAGCAACTTAATACCTTTATCTATTTACTTCTCTTAGCTCGAGCGGGACTTGTCATTCCTTTTTGTTGTTTTAAAGCGATTTCAAATGGTATATATTGTAAAACCATCGTGTATCTCGCGATTTATACACGGAGAGAATTTTTTTTAAATTTACCCTGCAAATCATGTTAATTGTGGGACAATATAGTATTTAGGCAAATTTTACTGTGCACTACAATAAATTTTACTGTAAAATCTTATTGTTGTGCATAGTAAAATTTATTGTAGTGCACAGTAAAATTTGCCTTAATACTATATTGTCCCACAATTAACATGATTTGTAGGGTAAATTTAAAAAAAAATTCTCTCCGTGCAGCGACGTTAAATTCGAGAAGAATTTCGGGACTCGTAAAGTATAAGCCGGTCCGCGTAAAATTGATCGCCAACCCGTAAATTGACGTATGCGCGCGCGGAGAAGCATTACATTGAATTACATTAAAGAAAGTCTGACAAGTCATTCTCGGTAATTTATGTTAATTCTATTCCTCACTTTAAGAAGCTGTTGCTCGGATCATTTATCTCCCGCCCGTAAATAGGCGGCTGCTGTTTAATCATCCTACTTTTGCGACGAATGCGAATCGATATCGTCACGACGAAGGAGAATCTAGACGGCCTGTACTGTACCATTTATAAAACTTGTCCAGCCGTAAATCACTTCTATCTCAAATTATTATTTTTCTCTTTTTTTTTCGGTACAATATTTTGTCATTCGCTGTCCCTTCCTTTTTCTTTCTTTTTATTTCCCGCGTCGACCATCCACCCGCCGCACGGTTGCACGCGCGCGGTCGTGTGTCACGTATAATGTTCCGAGAGGACTCGGTGTTTTAGAGAACACACGGAATAAATTCTACTGTGCTCTCTATTGGGAGATCCGTCGATATATCTCCCTCTCCTCGTCCAAATCTCCCTCGTTTCTCTTTCTCGCGCGTTGGTCGTTATACTGACGCGGGGCGGTTGGACCGCGGCCAAAATGCCGCCGGTAAAATTAATCGTTGCCTGACACGAATTCCTCTCTAAGTGGGAATACCAATTTGTAGGTGCGAAATAGAGAGAGAGAGAGAGGTAGACCGAGAAAGAGAGAACACACGTCCCTGTAGGCGAGACGAGGAGAGGTTCGCGGCGCGCTGCGCGCCGCGGGGTGAAAGCCGGAAGGCGGAGAGGCGGAGGGGAAGGAGGAAGCGGGTGGGTAGGAGCCGGGTCTCTAAACATGTCGTTATATCGAAGCTAACAACCCGGTTTACGCCGGCTCTCGACTCGTTCTTAGAGTACTCCCGAGAGAGAACGCGCCGGCGAGCAACGCGCCGTGCGCGTTTTCGCTAGTTATTGGCCGCCGGCCAAGTGCCCCTGAAGACTTATCCGCTATCGAGCATTGTTTATGAAAGCAATGTGACTACAAAGCGACGCGCGTAGTCTTTCGAGTGGGATTAGACCGCGCGTGACGCCAAATTAGCGCTGTCAAATTAATTGGAGCCGCCGGATTCTCAAACGGACGACCGCGCCCTCCTGTCTGTCGCGGCTCGTAAGATCCGTGAGACGCTTTTATTTCTAATCCGCGAATTTCGCTGCACGATTCTAAACCTACTCTCTGCAGGATTTTCTCACTCTCTTCGAGAGATTATAGCATATTTTCTCAAATTAAGTAATAAACTTTCTCTTTATCACTTTATGTCCATTAGTTAAATTAATTCAAAATGCGTATATTACTGAAACGTTCTATGTATCTCTTTTAATCTTTAAATAAAGTTCGTTGACTTCTTTTTTGCTAATATACTGTTGCCAGCTATATACTATTCTTTGAATTTATCGAAGAAAATTTTTTATTATGTAGAAAGTAACAATAGAAGTTAAAGTAACGAGAAAAACATTTTAAATTTGTACATTACCTCATTAAAATATTTTTTTCAACAATCTATAGAACGCTATAGAATGTTTTTTTTTAATTATAATATCTAAAAATAAATTTTAGTTTATAAGAACAAATATACATAATTAATTAATATATTGTGCAACAGTCTATGGCAAGATTGTATAACTTATATTGTAGGTTATTATTGTAGTGAAATAACGGTCGCCTCGTCTTCTTTCTAAAACAATAATTGTGCCGCTGGAATGCGTCTCATGTTAGCGGCGAGCGGCATGTCTATCAAGCTAAGAATGTGCCGGCGTATCTCGGCGTTGTTTTACAAAGAAAACAGAACGGATTGTGCTTGCCTTGCTATATTCGAGTTGCTCCATTCTCGTCGCATGTATTGCCACATCTGTAAAATTTCCATCGAGTTAAAATAAAAAAAAGTAGTAGACAGCGACGATAACGATAGCAGATTTTTCTCGAAATGGATAAAAAGACAGAGTAGTCAGAGTCTTGTAAAATTTTAATACTTTAATACTAATGAGCTCAAGATTCTAAAAATAGAACGTAAAGTAATAAAAGTTTAATCAATAGAACTGAAATCATGAATAAACAGGCGGCGAATATTAATCAGACGTCCACGGAGCGACTGCTTCGACAAGATAATCTCTAGCTAATCCGTTAAGCGATAAATTAATCGTTACACGTTTAACGTCGACGTGAAAGGAATCACTTACGTGTTACAGATCGGAAGCACGTCGATCAGCCGAGGCGCGGTTCCGCCGGGAAATCGAAGGGAAGAACCGCACGTTAGGCTGACGCCGACTGGGAGGATCGTTTCGGGGGACATGGCTTAACTCACGACAAGACAGTGGGAGAGACAGGTGGAGGAGCTACCATCCTCGGGTCTCAGGGATTCCAGGGGAGCGTGGATGGTCGCCGAGATTTCCTACGACGTTGGAAGTAATCACGGAGTGGTGTCGGGTGGTGTGTTCGTGATCAAAAGGGGGGGGGCTCAGTGGCTGTGATCGTGGTGTTGTGTCGAGGGAGATCAGTGTGCCGTCGGTGAGGAAGTGGGTGAGAGGTATATCGAGTTGCGCGTATCTCGGCTACGCGGGTAAGAATTAACGACAGGAGCAAGTGTGGTGAAGAGAAATCAAGGTGAATAAGGTGTACACACGATAACACGAGAGGTGGAAGGCGCGAGGAAGAGGAGAGAGAGAAAGAGAGAGAGAGAGAGAGAGAGCGGGAAGAAGGAAGAGAGAGATACGGCCGGATATATCGCGAATTACGTCGAGCGAGAGTAGAAGCGAGAGAGTGGAGTGATGTGTTCGATGGACGAGGCGCGTCTCGCGGGCGGTGGTCGGGGTAATGATAACGCGTGTAGTCGCGCGCGCTACCACTACTACTACTTGGTATCCAAAGTGAGAAACGGCGGGCAGTCGGTGACCAGGCTGGCGGGCGCCGGGGAAACGTTTCCAAGGGCATGGCGACCACGCCACTAGGCGGTCGCCTCCCTAACGTAAACCGTAAAGGACCATCTCCGTGCATCGGTGGTGGTGGTATTAGTAGTAGTAGTAGTAACAGTAGCAGCGGTGGTAACGTCAGCAACGGCAACACCAGTAACGGTAGCAGCAACAACAACAACAACAACAACGGCTTAAGTAACAACAACGCCAGCGGCGGTCAGTCGAGGAGGCAAGAGAGAGCACTAGTCGGCAGGGAACATCGCGATCATCGTCACCATCACCATCACCATCACCATCATCACCATCATCACCATCACCATCAAGGTCGGGACAAGTCGTCATTGTCATCGTCGTCGTCGTCGTCGTCGTCGTCGTCGTCGTCGTCGTCGTCAGGCCAGCAGCGTGAGTCCAATAAAGCAAGCACAGTGGCTGCTAACGCCGGTGAACTGGATCCGGCCGCGACGAATGCGACCAATAACTTTGAGTACGACGACAACGAATGGGACATTGGCATAGGTGACCTGATAATCGATCTTGATGCGGACATTGAGAAGACGAGGGACGAGAAATTGAGCTCGGGGACAGGCATGGCTTCTACGCCTGCCTCGGCAGCATCGGCACCGAATAACGCGAATCATCATCAGTTACAAAACTCAGCGAGTGGTCTCAACTCCTCCAACTCCTCGTCCTCGTCCGTCCCGTCGACTGGCACGAACGCCGGCAGTCAATCGTCGTCGTCCTCGTCATCGTCGTTGTCGTCGTCCTCCTCATCATCCTCATCGTCATCGTCCTCCTCTTCCTGCGGCGTCAACTCATCGTCCGCGCGCTCCAACAGCCCCGGGAGCGGCGGAGGTAGCACGAACGGTACCGGCAGCGCGAACGGCGCAGGTAACGCCAACGGCACCGTGTCTGTGGTCACCGGTCCCGGTAATAAGCAAGCGTCGGGCGTGAACGTGAGCGGCGTAAACGCCGTCCACGGTAACGCCGGTAATCCCGGCAAGATGGCCGTTGAACACTCGGCCACCGTCGACAAGGGCCTCAAGATGAAGATCAAGCGAACGAAGCCCGGCACGAAGACCAGCGAGGCTAAGCACGAGATCGTCAAGTCGAACGAGATCAACGGCACCGTCTCGTCGCAGGATTCGAACAACGGCACCGCCGCGTCCTCAACGTCCTCGTCCTCGTCCGTCGGCTCGACGTCCGCGTCGGCCGCGGTCGCACAGAACTCACAGAACTCGGAATGCGGCGCGGCCGGCGGCGGTCAGTCGTCGTCGTCGAACAAGTCCAAGCCGAGCCACTCGCCGGCGTCGGCCGGCGGCACCGGTGCCGCGCCATCGTCCACCGCCGGCTCGAAGCGCGGCTCGAGCGGCCATCGGCGCGACAAGGCGCGGGACAAGCACGACAAGCCGCAGAGCAATCACACGCCCCAGCAGACCAAGCCGGAGATGAACGGTACCGCGCGACCCACGCCGCAGGGCCAAAACTCGGCCGGCGGCGCGACGCAGTCTCAGTGCCCAACGCCGGCCGCCACGGCGCCGCAACAGACCCAGGGACCACCGCCCAACTCGAGGACAGGTTTCTCCGTGTCACAGGGCCCCGGGCCACCCGCGACCAGCGCGGCGGCACCCTGTCCGCCGCCGAGTCCGGCGAGCGCCACGGCGGCCGGCGCGGCGGCCAAACCGGAACAGACCAAGGTCGCCGCGGTGCCGGGTCCACCGCTCACGACACCCGCCGAGGAAGCAATGGACACTGCCGCTAGTCCTCCGCCCGCGAAAAAGATTAAGACGGAACCAAAGGTAAGTCCCTTCAAATTGCCAATTAAATTTTTTTCGTCGCACTGTTCAGATTACTTGGAATTAGCAGAAAGCGTTATTCTTACGAGATTTGAGAGAATCTTTTTAAATGTCAATGAAGATGATCATTTTTCCGAACTTCGTAAATTTTAGCATTCAGATAAGATTAAACGAATGAATTTAAAGTAAAAGTTGATTAAAGTTTACTCCAGATTTGTCGACTAATAATATCTCGTTATTTGCTTTCACGCTTGAAGAATTTAATTTATGAGAAACTATTTTCTGTGGATTTATAGAAAACTATTAATGGCTAAATATTTTTAACTTTAAATGTCGCAAGAAATAACATCTTCTGTATTGAATCTGGAATATTTAGACTACACGTTAATATCATTATATCATTCATTTCCCGCTTCGCATTCTCACAAAGTATCCGTCATTAGTACTGCGATTCGAAAACAAACGGACATGTGTGCAATTAATTTTTCTTTCTCTTTTAAGAAAGAAAGAGACAAGTTGAATTAAGCTTCACGGATTTCCTTTTCCCGCACAAAATTACGCGGACAAACATATGTTAGCCGGGACAAACCGAAGGAATTTTTTTTCTCTCCCTTGCGCGACGCATTCCGACCGGATATGTAATGTTGATTTCCGGCAGCTCGTTAGTCGCCACGAGCTCGGGCGAGCCCCTCCTATTATACCGATTGGTATCTTCGTCTCGTCGGCGGCGACGCGTAACGCTCGTACGCACCTAACTCGCTCGCGGCGCGGTGCGGCGAGGCGAGGCGAGATGAGAGTCGACACGGAATCAATTACATAAGTTCATATGCATAGAACGCGAACGAACCGCGACCGGTACGACAGTCCGCGTGATGCGTGGCATGCGCCAATACCTGCGTATACCGTTGCGTGCATCGGAAAAAAGTTTGGCTTGAAAAGGGAGATCGTAGGGAGAAGAAAAAAAAATACTCAGAATGCCGCATTAGAGACTCATGACGTGCATCAAGTAAAATAATAGATAATTAACAAGGTAAATTTATTCAGATAAAAGTGAGTAATTTTAAATTCAAATGAAAGACTGACGTTTCCTGTAGCAACAGTATTTTTTTAAAAACATGATGGATGATTTTTATAAAACGTAAGATATATAAAGCGTATTTTTCCGTTTTAGACAACATATCCAGAAGCGAAATAAAATGGTACTTCAGATCGAATTTGTTTGGAAAATTCCTTTTTTTATTTCATCTATTCGCAAATTGAACAGAAACGCGTTAATGAAAAACTTACGAAGACGATATTTTTTTCTATTTTCATTCAAATGGAAACTCCAAAGAATCGATATCGCATTGACGGTATTTGCCTCCGTTTTATTCCCACGTCAGGGTAAACTATCGCCGTGACACTTGAATAAATAAATCCACGACGAGGAACGTTATTGTAAAATACGAGCTTCGATTTCTGTTGCGAACCTTTGTGCGAGCGCACGCGCGCTCGCTCGCTCGCTCGCATATGTATATCTGAAAATAAACGCGAAGCGAAAAATATCGTTTTAGAGATACGGCGGAGCGCCATAAATAAATCTCGTCTCGCGCGCGCGCGCGCGCTCTTCGCTCGTCCCGATCCGCAGCCATCAAAAGTTGTGCATTATTTTCCCTCGAAGAGATCTCAACGTTATCGTATTTTACGGTTGACCGCGCGGACATGGCGAGCGTCGGACGGCTCTTCTTCTTATTGGGTACCTGTATGTGCGCGACAAATTTTTCCCTCAAGCTGGACCTTATCCGGACTCGACCGCCGCGAACGTTCGCCTCTTAATGCCGTGCATTTTTTATATTCAGTCTTTTTGAAATGTCCGCAAATACAGTCGAGTAGTAAAATTTCATCGTTTCGCTCGAATTCAAGCGGAACTTTTGCCGCACACACGGAATTTTAACCGTAATTTTAATCGGCGAGTTATTAAAAGTTTCGACTCTCTCTCCGTCAAAATACGGTATACACGTTCGCAAAAATCGGTTCCATATTCCGCGTGACGAATATTTCACGAATGTATTATTACATTGTGAAATTGCTGTAGCGCGCGCGCGCACGCAGGACATTGTGTACACGCGCGGAGTCGTGAAATCCCGTCCGCGTTTTCCAACGGGCCTCGGCGTATCTCTCTCGCCTTGGCACACATCGGGGGCCCGTCGTTCGTCGTTGTCGTCGTCGCTCTCGTCATCGTCGTACCGCACGTACATGCTCGTTCGCAACCTTGTTCGCGAGCCATGTAACGCCGGACACGTATTCGCGCGTCAATCAACTCGCGTACGTGTCGCGGATGCGCTCGCGGCTCGCCCCGGCACGGCACGGCTCGGCTCGGCTCGGCTCGGCTCCGCTCGAGCTGGCTGGCAGCACAAAACTTGGGAGGGCACGCGCGTAGGCGCCCGCGGCGGGAAAACCCGGCGACACACGTCACAGTGTTAACTGTTAAACGTTCCAGTTGATTGTAATGACGCTCTTTCGTGCGCTTTGAAGAGCGAAAGAGGGATTCTCGCATAAAGTTGCAAAGAAAGAGCATGCCGCGCGTGGCAAAATACATATATGTAGGTTGCGTACTCGCTAATAGATTGCAGCTTTGAAGTTTGGCTCGTAAATATCAATTTTACAGGGGCGTGGGTGGAATGGGAAGAAATAATTCTGCGCTAAATTGCGAGAGTAAAAAACGTTCGTTTATTATTTTCGCGGCCGTCTTCGGCGCTCATTTCATAGTTAAATGCTAATAAGTTTTTTTTTATACTCTTGTATTGCTGTGTGACTTTTTTATCTATTTACATATGCAAATCACGTGCACTCTGTAGGCTGTAATTTTAAATGCAAATTTTACGTATCGATTTTACCGGACAAATACCGTATAGATTACGATAAATATACTCTTTGTTGGTATAATAGACACTACGTGATGTTTCAATGTTGTAGATCCCTCGCGCGCTCTGAGGGGTATAAAGTTCAACCAAGATAGAAATTGGCACGAACTATTTCTGCTCTTTGTACGATGATTGCAGCGAGTATTTTCACTTGGCGTCTCTCGTCGCTATTCACGGTTCATGGCAGCCGCTTTGTCGAAGCCGTTTTGAAAGTATCACCGACACGTCGATACACAGCCGATTGACTCGCGTCATCTATTATTCGCCGCCCGATTCGGCGAGTGACATCGATACGACTCTGCTCTCCATTGTAATAGCGGCGTCATTATTTTTGCACGCTACGATTTGCCGACGATATTATTAATGATCACCGCGCTGTCCGAGAGAGAGGTAATATTTAACGAACGTATATTCGCGTGCAAACAAACGATATGTAATCTCTGTCCTCGCGGTCTATTGTTTTCCGACCTCATAGTTTTCATAGGTGTTTCCAGATATCGTTTTAAATTGTATTCAATCCTCAATTCTCACTCTCTCTCTCACCGCTATTTATTTTCAACTTTTGCTACACGGTTATTAGATTTCTATTTATTTTTAATCTTAAAGTTTAATGTCGATTATAATTCTCAATTTCAAATTTCCTCCAAAATCCTTCCTTGTTAATGTTAAATCATCGGCCTATTCTCATCTCGTTCTCGGCGAATTTCATAAGTACCGTGAAAGGGATAAATTTCAGATTATTTGAAATTAAGGATCATTGTGTGATTATGACGATCTCATTTAATCTCGCCCCGATGGATTTTAATAATTCGGACGTGTGGTTAATCGAGCCGGTGATGAACGAGTGGATTAACGCGCGGGGGAAGGAGGATCCGCTTGACGTGCCGTTTGATAAATATTTTTGATCGCGCCCCCGTCGACTCGGAATTGACGCTCATCGATGTCGGAGCGGGTGCGGAGGTTGGGCGAAAGCCGAGGGACATGGCATGGTGGCCTGAGCAAAGTGGCATCGTCGACTGCTCTATGCACCGAGGGGAATAATCCGTTATATCCCTCGTATAGAGAGAGAGTTAGGGGTTCTCAAACTCGTTCCGTGTGTGTATATAAGAGCGTTCTATACTATCTCAATAACGTTTAAACGATTGAGATAAAGCTTTTATTCATTCGTATGTAATAATGTAAACTATATGTTTTATAATGATTTATTATATAGGCTAAAATGATTTTATCTAGTAGCAAATTTGATCTTCTGTATTAATTGAGCTACGATATAATAAAGGGGAAATCCACAAATGCTAAATCGAGCTAATAATATCGAATTATCGTCCTTGAATTTATTACAGTTATTGGGTGTGTTTGCAAGAATTTTATTTTGTTCTTTTAAGTAAAAGTCCTTCATAAATTAAACTGCGTCAATATGTATTATTATAATTAATATTAAAATTTAATCTAGAGTTTTCACAAGTGAAGTAATACAAATGTATCGGAGAAAACATTCAAGGAGGATAATTCGATATTATTAGCATTTGTAGATTTTCCCTTTATTATATATCGTGGTTCACAATTAATATAGAAGAGCAAATTTGCTACTAGATAAAATCATTTTAGCCTATATAAATCCTTATTATAAAACTCGTTAAACCAAAAGTTTAAGTTGTTTACTGCAAAAGCGCAGTTAATTAAAAGTTTCATTACCCTCATGTTCATTCGAGATGCTATTAAAAACCGCATTGTCCGACGTTTCCGCTAGTTACATCATGAGAAGTCAGTATATGTCGATAAAAAGGGTCGGATGATTAATCACAAGTTTTAATTGTCATAAACTTTCGGGTCAATCGAATTATCGGTTTTCGCATCGTGTTTCTTTCTCTCTCTCTCTCTCTCTTTCTCTCTATGTTGCAAATGTTTATCCTGCGCCGCATTATTCATCGCCTGCCCCGTGCTCATAAACCGCTTACAAATATCGGACGTATACGAGAGTTTTCCAATTAAATGAACTGAACTCACAAACGTCAGCTACCCCTGGCCCTCCACCTCCTCGCGCGCCCCCTTCAACTCACGTCGTCAGAAAAGCAACAGCGGAATAAACAGATTACATTC